AAATTACAAAATTGCTATTTTTGAAATTTGGCCACGTGGTGCAGAAATAGGAGGTCTTTAGACCGAGCCAACCATATTCATGAATATCATAAGGGGTCTCACAATGTCACACACTATTAAAATTTAAAATCAAGTGATCAACTCATGTTTTTAAGGAATTTTTTGCTGTTTTAATAGTGTGTAACCCCCTTAATGATATTCATGATATTCATGAATAAAAACCCTAGTCATTAAAATGGATGTTTGCATCCAAGCTTTAATGTTCCAGTAATAATTTACTGGCAAAGACTTTTTCTCAATGTTTTTAATTGCTCTTGGATTTTGATGTTTATGGATCAGAAGAGGTTTCAATTTTTCTGTTCCACTAGCATTGCAAGTTAACATCACAGTGATTCTTTCTTTCATTTTTTTCTTCCAGATACTGGCCCTGTAGATAATACTCTAGATGGTTCCATTTTCCAAAATAAACCTATTTTGTCTGCATTAAAAATATCAGACAACTGATATTGAACTGTAATATTTTTTAATTCAGAAATGGGTGCAATACCACTTTTACCTTGTTTTAAATATTGTTTAATGCTATGTCTTTGTTTAAATTTAGTTAGCCAACCTTCTGATGCCTTAAAATCCTCAATTCCTGAGAAATTTTTTGTCTTTTCCTTTAATATGTCGCCATTGATATCTAAGCAAGCATCAATTGCCTGTTCCACCCAAATAGCCATTGCTTGGTCGATATTTTCATATAGTAAACTTCTCCTTTTCTTTTTATTAGCATCAAAAGATTCTGGGTCAACTTCAAGCCATCTTTCTTTTTGATTTAAGATATCAGTGACAGTGGTTTTGCCTATATCAAAGGCTAATGCCAATTCTGCATTTGATGGAATCAGGATTTTTTCTTTTGCTAAACAAATTTCTTTTTTTTGCAAGGCTGTTAAAGATTTTCTTTTGTTTATTGAAATTGAAAAATATATAGTGAAATTTATTATTAGAAAGTAAGTTAATAAAGTAAGTTGGATTATCAGGTAAGTATTTATATAAAATTTCAAATATCAATTATTATAATAAGACATATTATTGATAATGTTCACAAGATGAAATTGTAACAAAGTCCACAAAGTTTCACTTCCATAATAATATTGTTTTAATTATAATTTTAAAACAACAGATCAAATAAAGAATACAATGAATGTGTTCTTGTAAAAAAAAGGAAAACAAAAACGATCAAACAATTAATATATTGTAAAAAAATTTAAAAAAACCTAATAAATAAAATCAAACAATTATGGTCGTACAATAAAAAAAATTGATCAATGGTCATTATAGAGAGAAGATTTTTAAATAGTAAAATTTCGTTTTTAAATTTCAAGGTCATTATAGAGTGTTGATCAATATAGAGAAGGTCAGTATAGAGAGAGTGAACTGTGTAGTAATGTAACTTTTAACCCTGTGCTTAATAAGTCAAACTTATTAAGTACTTAATAATAAGTTTGTAAAACTTAATTAAAACCTTTTTACACTTTGCATAATTGCAATGAGAGTCATACCACCTAGTTGCAGAAGATACCATTACCTGTGAGATGTACTGTTAGGCTAGCAAAAGGGCTGATGCATTCTTTATCTCATGAATACAGACAGTACAAAACCATCAATAGTCCCCCCAGTGTTGTGACCCGAAACTCTGAGTTTAGGGAAAACCAGAAACAGAAACTAACAGAAACCACCCAAAACTAGTTTAGATTAGTAGTTTATGTTTATGTTTAGGTTTAGTTTTAGTTTCCTGCTTAGTGTAAGTTCATTTTCCGAAACATTTCAGGAAGCCAAAAGAGTTTCTGGTCACAACACTGAGTCCCCCTCGAAGTGATTTTGATTTCTAGTATACAAAAATCTTGATAAATCAAGCATAATAAATTAGTATGATGAAAAATAATAATTAATTCAAAAGATCAGGTAAAAGTATTACAAGAGCTATATCGCCTAAGTTACAGGACATACCCATCACCCACAAGAACACATCAAGTCTCATTTTCTTGTTAATATTAACAACCATTTTTCTGATATGGTATTCAAAAATGCTTTCTTGTTTCCATCTATCCAATAGTATGTCTTGCAGGTGATAGGCAAGATGCCCTGCAACTAGGCTGTATGGATTTCATCTTACTTGGGAGGCTGGTTTTAATAGCCACAACAGATAAGCAAATGTTTCTTTTCTATTCAATTAGGTCTTTGCACTGCCTAGCATGATGCACAAACTTGCCTTCTTGTCTCACCTAGCCCAATATTGTGTCTTGCGGGTGATGGTGCATGTACAAGATGGAGAACATATCAGCCTTCTTGCTAGCCCAATAGTGCATCTGAAACATTTTTTAATTCACTAACTATACTAACAATTGTAGATGTCTTTCCTGTTCCTGGTGGTCCTTGAATAAGAGTAATTCCCTTTTTCTGATTTACAACTTTCCAAATTGCCTCAGCTTGTGAATTATTAATATGGTAAATTTTCATATATTTAGATATTTCATTGTACATAAAACTATTTAAAATACATTGTAGTTTATTAAAAAAAATTTAATATCTTGCCGGATTTCCTTTATTTTTTAAAACAGCATCAACTCTTCATGGCATACTATCTATTAATTTATTAATTCTTTCTGGCT